CTGTCTCCAGAATGTCTGCTCTTTGATCTTTTTCCTTTCTGCCTGAATTCTGGCTTTTGGGAGGCAGGGCAGGTAGGGGAAGAGTAGATTTTTTATTATTCAGTACATTGACAACATTTATTTTATGTACTAGGTGAGGCAAAGGTCCAGTGACCTCTGAAATCGGGCAGGGTGAATTATCACCTCCATTTTTATTTTTTATATTTTTATTATCTGTACTTCTTTAGTCTGTTGAGTGATTTTTAAGAAAAACAATAGACTTCACAGAAAGTTGCAAAAATAAAAACAGTCCAGGGAACAGCCAGATGCAGCTATTGTAAACATTTACCTCTTTGCTTCATCATTTTTTCTTTGTTGGAAAAGAAAACAAAAACAAAAACCAGCATGAGATAAAATTTTCTGAACCATTGGAGGTGAGTTCTACACATCATGGCCCCTTACTCCCCAATTCTTCATATATATTTCCTAAGAATAGAGATGTTCCCACAGTGCCGTTACCAATGTCCTCAATTTATATTACAATACTTGAATCTACTCTCCTTATTTCAATTTTATCAGTTACTCTACTAATGTCTTTTTTCACATTACCCCTTGCACTATGAGATCCGTCCTTGGGTCAGACATTATATATTATATTCTTTAGCCTCTTTTATTCTGGAACATTTCCATAGCATTTGTCTTTTAGAACATGGGCATGTTCAAAGCACATAGTTCTCTCCCCACTTCCACCACCTGCCTTAGGCCGTGACGGTTTTCTCCTGATTGAGTTCAGGTTACGCATTCCTAGCCACAGGTCGGTCCTTTGCAGAGTGTGGCACCCAACGCCCGCCTGTCCCTCGTAGGTTGATATTAAATTCTTGCCTTTTTATTCTCCCCTGTATAACTAGGTCTCCCCCCACCCTTTCTGCTATTAAGCATGTAAATACCCTCTCCATGCCTTCTGCCTTCTTCCCATTTACTACCACTGGTCATTGCTTTATGCAGTCGTTACCATGACGGTGGCGGAAATGATTGTCAGGTGGTATTTTGAATCTGTGAATGGGTGGGTAGGATGTATGTTTTCTTTCTTTCACGTGGCTGTAACCATGAAAAAAAAAATCCCAGCTTTTTACACTGAAATGGAATTTAAGTTGCTATCACATCAGACGCATAGTGATTTTCCCATTGAAGTGTGGGAGCTGACGTGTCTAAATACTTTTTCTTGTCATAAATGGCATTTATAGATTTTAATAAGTTATAATGGTTTATGGATAACAAGAATTTTAACACTTTGAAAGGTACAGAATTAATTTTCCTTTTAAAATGATAAACTTTGACTTGCTCTCTGTCAGCCTTTGGCCTGCCGGAGATGCCACATACCCACTACATGACACTCATTGGTCAAGCCATATGGCCATTTAAAAAAAAAAAAAAGCCTTTATTTTTTTAACTAGTTGTAGGTTCACAGCAAAAATGAGTGGCAAGTACGGAGAGTTCCTCTATGTTCTCTGCCTCTCCCACTATCTGCCCCCCTTCCAGAGTTCTACAGTTGTTACAATTGATGGATCTACTTTGATGCATCATTATCACCCAAAGTCCATAGTTTTATATTAGGGGTCACCGTTAGTGTTGTACATTCTATAGGTTTCATAGTATCATATAAAGTAGTTTTACTTCCCTAAATGATCCTCTATGCTCTGCCTGTTCACCCTTCCCTTCCTCCTCCCCCCACAACACTTAATCTTTTTACTGTTTCCAAGGTTTTTTCCTTTTTCCAGAATGTCGTGTAGTTGGAATCACATAGCATGTAACCTTTTCAGATGGGTTCTTATACTCATATACATTTTAAGGTTTCTCCATATCTTTACATGGCTTGATAGCTTTTTTCTTTTTCAGTACTTCATAATATTCCATTATCTGGATGTACCATAACTTATCCATTCATTTGATGAAGGACATCTTGGTTGCTTCCAAGGTTTTGCAGTTATAAATCAAGCTGCTGTAATCATCTGTGTGCATTTTTGTGTGGACATAAGTTTTCAGCTCGTTTAGGTAAATAAATATCAGGGAGTATCATGGCTGACTCTTGTGAAAAGAGTGTTTATTTTTATAAGAAACTGCCAAACTGTCTTCTAAAATGATCGTACCATTCTGCATTCCCCGCAGATAACCATTTTTGAGTCAGTTTATCCCCCTGTAAACCAGTTGGAGGGACCATAATTATAGCTCTATCTTTAAGCTCTAAGGCTGTACAACTACATATGATAACTTCGTAATGGAACATGCGCAAGGTCCCAGTTTTGTGCTAATACTCAAATGAAAGCTCTTGCAACCTAAGAAACGCATGCGCAGGTTCCGGCCGTGCCTTGCGGGTTTTGGCGTCTACTGCGGAATGTGAACGTACAGCCCAGAGAGGAGAGGGTCTGGGCACGTGCTCCATCAATGCTCCACTTACTGTAGTGCGGCTGAGATTAGAGGCGGTTCAGGAACCCAATGGCATTGTGGCAGGCTTTTAGCCAGGCCTGGCTGTGAGCCTTCAGTGTGCTTGGGTTTGAAGCGGGACCCCGCTTGGGGATGCACAGGGCCACCTGGAGGCTTGGCCCTGCAGGCTTGCTTAGGGCTGTGCCCTCTGTGACGCGCGTGTGCTTGGTGGCCCCCAGGGGGCGTTCCCATCAGCAGCGCTGCCCACCAGCGGCCACCAGGCTCCACCCCGCGATGGGGCAGCAGGGAGGAGCAAGTTGGGCCTCTGGGGCCCGTGTAGGGCAGCCCCTGCCCGGCAGCACGCACCATGCCCTGGTGGAGTAACCTCTGCTGTGAGTAGCGCGACCTCGCCCCTCTTCCCCCCCCCCCCCCATCGGCAGTTCACCCGGGGAACCTCGTGGGCGGGAGAGCTTTGACGGCCACTGACGGTCAGTCGGTTAGTGGTGGGAGCAGAGACATAACATGCTGCCAGTCTTAAAAAATGGCTAGGCTTTAGCAAGGGCCAGAAAAAGGTGCTCTTACTGGCGAGGCTGGAGGTGAGCAAAATGGGATGCGGGGCAAGATGGAGCCGGCTTTGGTATTCGGATGCAACGCAGGGTAAAGTGCAGCCAAATAATGAAAAATGAGGAGAGTCTAGTTTTCAATGCAGGTTCCAAAAGGAGCGGGTAGCCTCGTGTTTGCACGTGGTTTGGGGGCAGGATTCCTACCTTTAATGTGCATGTTTGCACTCTTAGCGGGCTTTTCTGTTAGAACCAAAGTTAAGCTTGGGCTGCCAGGTTAGGTAGTTTAGAAGGCTACCCTCCATGTCTTGGACCCATTAAAAATGTGTGACAGCCTCCTGATCCAAAGTGGTATTTTAGGGGGCACGGAGTCTCTGCAAGGTCCGGTCAGGTCCCGCGGGGTGCAGAAGGCTGGTGGCGCTGAAATCAGGGCTGAGTTCGGTTTGTCCAGACTTTGCGCAAAGCACGAGGACGCCCCCTGGTCCCGCGGGGGCCCCGGCTGGAGGAAGAGCTTCTGCCAAGGGTCGCTCCTAGGATTACTTAGGGCAAAAGAGGCTACAGATCAGTTGACAGGACTTAAAAATGTTCTGTGATCCTATATACCTTTTTAAAAAAGAATGTTCAGTCCATGTATCACTCTATATAAAGAGAATATCTGAATCTTGCTAAGCTGTACCGCACTATCAGAGGCTGTTCTGTTCTGCCAGTTGGCAGCTGTTCATCTTTGTTTCCCTAGTTTTGACTGTAAACATCGCAATCATTGCAGATTGTTAGAAAAAGTATTGCGAATTAAAACACATTCAGGAGCAGGGAAGGAAGGGCAGGCGGGTGGATGGTGTGATTAACACCTGTTTTTTCCCACTCTGTTAGCGCAAGGTCCCTGCATTTTCTAATGAATTCTAGAAAGGTTAGTTAATGACTGCTTTCATCTCATGCTTGCTGGCAGGAAATCTGTTTGTGATCATTACCAGTAAAGTCGTGTTAGAATAGAGTGTGTTCTGGGGGTTTGACTTTTTGACTTTTCTCTGGTGTACTTCCAGTGGTATCGTCCACCTTTGAAAAAAAGGTCACACCTGTCGCGTTGCATTAGAAGCATCTCGCAGGTGTTTATGACTGGGGAGGTTTGTAAGAAGTAGTGCATGTCATGGAAGTGCACTTCCAGAAATCTTTAATTCTTGATACAGTAGAACGACTCTAAGGATCAAAAATGGAAGTTATGGAGTTAATTGGCATTTTTTCCTAAGGGTGTACTCCCTGCTCCCATTTACTTTTTTAGTGTCAGTCTTATTCATGGACTTTTTAAAAAAAAATTCTTTCAATGCCTTATAACCCATCACTGTCACTGTTCTTTTTTATGCTTCAAAGCTTGGCCAGAGGGAGCTCCTTCAAGCTGGCTCCTGTGGCCTTTTGATATGCCCTCCTCAGCTTTTGAAAAAGCATCTCCTTTCTGTTACACCCGAGTGTTCTTTGTACTTCCCCTGGCCCAGCCCTGAATTTGCCCAAGGAGCTCTTTGGGGGCCATGACAGAGACCAGACTAGTGATCACATAGAAGGCTCTCCTTTAGATCGTCTAGATGCTTTTCTGTGTCATTACTTGCTTATTTCCCTAACCCTGTATTTTCTGTAAAGTGGAAGTTATATCTAAAACTTGACGGATTCTAGATCATAGATGTACTTTGAGAGTCCATTTTGCATTGCAGCGTAACGTGCACTATCTGGCTGACCTGCCCTTCCGATGCTGCGACTACTTATATATAACTAATTTTTTGATAGTTGCTATTGTTAACTTTCTCTTTACTGGGAACAGAAAGAACAGAGTAGTATCTTTGAACCTAAATTTTTTTTTTAAGGTATTTGAAAGAAGTAGACATTGCTTAATCTAGTGAGAGTCACAAATACTGATAAGACCCTTACCTGTCCTGAAATTGCCTGACATTAAGGAAAGTATTAATTGGTTGTGTTTTTAAAATACTTAGTCTTCTTGAAGTGTAATCATTTTATCTTTTCTTCTCTCCCACTCCTCTTTTTTTCTGTTACTAGTTGGACAAAGAGACTCTGAGGATGTGAACGAAAGAGACTCAGATAAAGAGATGGCTGCCAACTCAGCAGTTGTTCAAGACATCACAAAGGAGGGGCAGGAGGAAATGCCTGAAATAATTGAGCAGATTCCTTCTTCAGAAAGCAATTTAGAAGAGCTAGCACAGCCTGCTGAATCCCAGAGTAATGATGTTGGATTTAAGAAGGTGTTTAAGTTTGTTGGCTTTAAATTTACTGTGAAAAAGGATAAGAGCGAGAAGTCTGATACTGTCCAACTACTCACCGTGAGAAAAGAGGAAGGCGAAGGAGCAGATGGGGCTGGTGACCACCAAGAGCCCAGCCGGGAGACTGGAGAAGCAACACCCAAAGAAAGTGAACTGAAACAATCTACAGAGAAACCAGACGAGGCTCCGAAGCATGAGCAGAGCAACACAGAAATTTCTCTTCAGGCTGAGTCTGGTCAAGCAGCAGAGGAGGGCAAAGATGGAGAAGAAAAGCAAGAAAAAGAACCAGCCAAACCTGCAGATTCTCCAACTAGTCCAGTGGCCAGCGAAACGGCATCAACCTTTAAAAAATTCTTCACTCAAGGTTGGGCTGGCTGGCGGAAAAAGACCAGCTTCAGGAAGCCAAAGGAGGGTGAGCTGGAAACTTCAGAGAAGAAAAAGGAACAAGAGCCAGAAAGAGCAGACACAGAAGAAAATGAAAAGACAGAAGACACCTCTGAGAAACTGGCTGCTTCTGAACCATCACACCCACAGGAGACCACAGAGAGAGCTAACGATGCCAGGTTATCGGCTGAATATGAAAAAGTGGAGCTGCCCGCTGAAGGGCAGGGGCCGGGATCTCCCGAAGAGAAACCCGCCCCTTTAGCAACAGAAGTATTTGATGAAAAAGTAGAGATTGTGGCAGAAGTCCATGTTAGCACTGTGGAGAAGAAAACAGAGGAACAGAAAGCTGAGGTAGGAGAAGTAGAAGAGTCCCTGCCATCTGAAAAACTGGTTGAAAAGAACGCTGAACCTCAGGAAGCTGAACCTTCTGAAGAGCCGGTGAAGACCAAAGCAGTGTGTGCCCCTGGAGGGGACCCCACCCAGCCACCTGAACCAAGTCCTGATGAAAAACCGTCTACACACCCCGAAGGCATTGTGAGTGAGGTGGAAATGCTGGCATCGCAGGAGAGAGTTAAGGTGCAAGGAAGCCCTTTGAAGAAACTTTTTACGAGCACTGGCTTAAAGAAGCTTTCTGGAAAGAAACAGAAAGTGAAAAGAGGAGGAGGAGATGAAGAGTTGGGGGAACATCATCCAGTCACAGCAGACTCTCCAGACAGTACAGATGAACAAAAGGGCGAGAGCTCTGCTTCATCCCCCGAAGAACCCGAGGAGATTACGTGTCTAGAGAAAGGGATAGTGGATGCGCACCAGGATGGGGAAGTCGAGGAAGGAGCTACTTCTGATGGAGAGAAAAAGAGAGAAGGTGTGACTCCCTGGGCATCTTTCAAAAAGATGGTGACACCCAAGAAACGTGTAAGGCGGCTCTCGGAAAGCGATAAAGAAGATGAATTGGATAAGGTGAAGAGTGCCACCCTCTCTTCCACAGAGAGCGCAGCGTCCGAAATGCACGAGGAGGTAAAGGGACATGGAGAAGAGCCAAAGCCGGAAGAACCGAAGCGCAAGGTTGACACTTCGGTATCTTGGGAAGCTTTGATTTGTGTGGGGTCATCCAAGAAAAGAGCAAGAAAAGCATCATCTTCTGATGAGGAAGGGGGACCAAAACCGACGGCCGGGGAAAGCCAAAAACCGGATGAAGCAGGAAAAGACAAGGAAGCAGGACCAGACACTGTCCCTGCTGGTTCCCATGAGCATGACCAAGGCCAGGGAAGCTCCTCACCTGAGCAAGCAGGAAGCCCCTCTGAAGGGGAGGGCGTTTCCACCTGGGAGTCATTTAAAAGATTAGTCACCTCAAGAAAAAAGTCGAAGTCAAAACTGGAAGAGAAAAACGAAGACTCTGTAGCTGGGTCTGGTCTAGAACATTCAGCTGCAGATGTTGAAACCGGGAAAGAAGAGTCCTGGGTTTCAATTAAGAAATTTATTCCTGGACGAAGGAAGAAAAGGTCAGATGGGAAACAAGATCAAGCTGCTATTGAAGATACAGGGCCCACAGAAGTTCACGAAGATGATGCTGACGTCCCAGCCGTGGTACCTCTGTCTGAGTACGATGCTGTGGAAAGGGAGAAAATGGAAGCCCAGGATGCCCAGAAAAGTGAGGAGAAGCCTGAGGAAAAGGGAGCGGTTTATGTGTCGGAGGAGCTCAGCAAGAGCCTGGTTCACACAGTGACTGTGGCTGTCGTGGACGGGGCAAGGGCCGTTACTGACATTGAAGAAAGGTCGCCCTCTTGGATCTCTGCTTCAGTGACCGAACCTCTTGAACAATCAGAAGATGAAGACAAGCCACCAAGTGGGGAAGTATTTAAAAGAGAGGTCATGGCAGAGGAAAGCCCTGTTGTTACCAAAGCTCTGCCCAAGGGCCAAGATGCCAGTGACGACACGATCATCAGTGAGATGGAATTGACTTCTGAAGCTGTGACAGCTGCAGAAACCACGGGGGCATTTTGTGCTGAAGAAGCAACGGAAGCATCTGGTGCTGAAGAGACCACCGACATGGTTTCGGCTGTTTCCCAGCTGACTGACTCTCCAGACACCACAGAGGAAGCTACTCCAGTTCAGGAGGTGGAAGGCGGCGTGCCAGACATGGAAGACCAGGACAGGCGAACTCAAGAGGTCCTGCAGGCGGTTGCAGAAAAAGTTAGAGGAGAGTCACAGCTGCCTGGTGCCATAGGACCGGAAGATACGGTTCAGACAACGCGGAAAGTAGAATCTAAAATACCAGAGGAGGTGGAAAAAGGAGAAGAGGATTCTCAGATGCAGGGTCTGATGAAAGAGGTGGACGTAGCGTTGAAAGGACATGTTGAAGAAACAAAAACTGAGAATTTGACACAAGGGAATGTAAATGCACAGGCCACCCCAGAACACTTCGAAAAAGTTCCTCAAGGCACAGAGAGTATAGAGTCCAGTCAGCTTAAGACCACCTGTCAAGCTGAAACCTTGGTTGGGGTAAAATCAGAGATTATACTGGAACAGGCTGTTGCCCCTGACTCAGCTGAAACTCTTACAGACAGTGAGACCAATGGGAGCACCCCAGTAGCAGACTCTGAAGCTCTCCACATCACACAGCAGGACAAGGTCATGGCCATCCATGCAGATGATGAAGGTGCATCTCGCACAGGATCACAGGTCACAGAAACAGAGGCAGTTCCTGTGCTGAAAGAGATGCCTCCAGTACCCTCTGGTTTTCAATCACAGGAAGAATATAAAGAACATTCAGAAATGGAAGAGGTTCTAGAATATATGGATAAAGAGGTATCCATGGAAACTGCAACCACTTTTTCAAAGACTGAGGTGATTCAAGAGGCCGGCCAGTTTGTTGATGACGAAACCAAAGACATACCATTTGTTGAAGGACTTGGAGTGTCTGCACACACAGAAGTAACAGCCAGTCAGAAAAAGATCAGTGAAGTTGCCTTTCAAGATGAAGTTACTAAAGAAGCTGAATTTCAAAAGAATGATAATATTGTTCTCCAGAGTCACACTCAGTCTCTTCCAACCCCAGTGGGGAGAGAGATGGTAGTTCAAGAAGAAAAGGAGGAAATGGAAGCAAAGACAGCTCAAGTGAGTGAAGGGGTTCTTGAGCCAAAACCGGCTGAAGTGCTCAATAAACAGCTGGTCCAGACAGTTCACATGACTGTCATAGACAGGGAAAAGGAAGTTATCAATTGTGAAGAAAGTTCTCCTTCTTGGCTGGTTCAAGAGGAAGCAGTCTGCACAGAAATTCAAGTTCAAAGCTCAGAGACATCATTACCTCTAACAGTTGCAACAGTGGAGGAGAAGGTCTTAGGAGAAACTGTTAAGATTTTAGAAACACCTGGAACCCCGGAGTCTGCAGCAGCACATTTGGAACCAGAAGAAAAGTCCTCTGAAAAAGACTTTATTGTTCAGCCAGGGGAAGATGCAGCGCACACAGGGACTGAGTCTCAGGGGGAATCAATGCCAGTGATAGTACCTGCTACCCCTGAGAAAGGCATCAGTGCTGACCCAGAAGGAGATAAAACCACATCACAGAAAGGGAGGTCAGATGAAGACTGCGAGCAGGTTAGCTGTCAGGAAGTCAGAGTGAGTACAACACAGGAGGAAGATTTAAAGGCTGAAAAGGAGATTTTGCAACTTAAGACTGAGAGCCGTAAACTTGTACAAAATGTAATTCAGACAGCAGTTGACCACTTAGTGAGTACAGAAGAAACAACCACCGATTGTCAGGCACTGGCTCACCTGGTAAAAGCTGACTACCAGGAAGCCGAACAGAGAATTGAGAAAGAAGAAAGGAAACTTCAGGTTTCCGCAGAGGGTGAGACACAAACTACCACAGCCAAAGAGGAGTCCGCACTCACCGCTGCGGAACAGACATGCTCAGATGTTTCCAAAGACGTGAACGCAGCTTCCCAAGAGGTCACGACTGTTGAGGTTGAAGGTTCCAGTGTAAATGACCAGCAGCTAGAAGAGGTAATTCTTCCAATCCAGGAAAAAAGAGGAGCAACTGGAACCGAGTCTGTGCGGGAAGATGGCGATCGAGCCGGGTTAGGAGAGAGAATACAGGAGCCGCTATCCGAATCCCAAGAAGATGAAAAAGGTGATGCTGTCGATTACCCTGAGAACCTCCCCTCAGCCCTGGAAGATGCAGAGGCCTCCGGAGGCTTAACCAAAGAATCTGCAGATGCAAATGGACCAAAACTAAAAGAGAAGGAAGTCGAATTTCAGGAAGGGAAAGGGCAGGGCGAGTCAGAAAGAGAGACCAAAATGCAAACACAGGAGACACAGAAACAAGAGAGGCAGCCAGCAACGCCAGAACGTACAGAATCCTAAAACGTCATGTAAGTAAGTATCCTTTTCTTCTAAAACAATTTTTTCTTCTTTAATGCCATTTGATGGCAGATTTGTTGTAAGGGAAGCAAGAGTTCAAAATAATTACAATTTTATGCAGAACTATCAACCAGACTAAATATGGGTTAGTTTCTTTCATTCCTCTCATTGAAATGCCATTCAGTCATATTGGTGTCATGAAAATAATGATTTCATTTTACCCTCAATGTGATTTCTTTCAAAGAAAATAAAGGCCCACATGTGTGCACAAGTGTACATTTGTGTGCGTGTTTGGCCAAAGGGCTAAGAAATATGTTATGCTTGCTCAGTCCCATACTGACTAATCTATTGCATTTTTAAATAAGGAAAAGTGAATTTTTTTCAGCAGTAGTAATGAACAAAAAAAAAAAAATTCCAGTGCACGTGACGAGCCTGACTCGGCGAACCACACACATTGGCTTTGCGGTCGTGGAGCACATGGTGTGGCCCTCACCCTCTTGCTTTCTTAGAGAATTAAAGGATGGCGTTAGCGGCTCCGGTAACTGTGGCTCACCTTCCCCGCTGTTCTGTGGTGGACTAAATGAGGAGGGGGGAAAGGGATTTTCTTCACCTGTGCATCTTTCTGTCCCTCTCTAGTTACCCTCGTGTGTTTGCAAGACCAGAATGGGAAGACAAGTGGTGGAAGCAGGTGAATGCCACTGATGAGACTGAAGACCAACATTTCAGACCTTTGACAACCGAAGAACAGGCCTATCAACCAGTCTCATTCCTGGGGATCCCCGACAATCCCGAGGCCTGATCGGGAGCTACAGCCGGTTCACGTTTCCTCCTTTCAAGACCACCCTGTCGTTTTCCCCTTGATTCCATGTAATGTCTCTCATTTAAGGTCCTGCATTCTAAACCTGGAACTGGAGTTGGAAATACCTAGTTCCGCTTCTCAAACTGGAGTATCATTCTTTATGTATTTATATGTATGTTTTAAGTAATCCTCCTCCTGTATCTATTGTATATTTTTTCTTAATGTTTAAGGAAATGTTCAGTATAGTACATTTCTTTTGTATCACACAGTATATGATGGGGCATGCGGCCGTAGTGGAGCCTTGGGAAGCTTCTTTACGACCTGTGGAAAAGAGCTTCCTGGAAATGACATTCCTGATCAGTTCCTATAAAGTTCACTAAGGATTAGGCCATGATTAGTATTACTCTGAGATTGGTCACTTTCCTACTCTGCACAGTGTGCTAAAAATGAAAAGCTTTTTTTTTCCTTTTTTTTGAAACATACAGAATGTTCCATTTTTACTGTGAAATTTTTCTTTCTGGCCCTGTGGAAGTTGGAAGATTTTTTTTTTTTTCAGTAGCACATAAAGTCTTTTCTCCTAATTGTTACGGTTGTTTGCACAGATGAGCGTGCTTAATCCTGACGCAAAGTAGCGATATGTTTTCATACTATAAAGAAAAGAATTGACTTCTTTAAGTTTTTGATTCCATTTGTAGATGCTGGACCCCATTCACACACAGCATGAAGTCAGTCCGGTTCTTTACCAGTGGTATTTTGATAGATGCTGGATTGTGTCTGTGCCATAGTTGTGCCCACTCTTTTAAGACAATGTTGCATTATGTTCATTTCCAGAAATTGTGATTTGACAACTGATTTAAATAAAATATTTGCTTCACTTAGATTTGCTGGTTTTATTAGCTACTAGGAAGGCTGGGACATAGGTTTACTGCATTCTAAAAGCAGTGTAAGTTAGAACTTTCTTACGTAGCCTCTGTGTGATGTTACCACTTTATGCCGGTTTGAGCTGATGTTCAGAGGAAGTCAGCAGATAGGTAGGTGTCTGCCAGGACTAGCTCGGAGCTTTGCAGATTGACAGTGCTGTTACAATGCCACCATCTGGTGGTGTCTTCCTGAAAAGGTCAGTTTTCTGCATTACTATTTGTTAATTGACAAATGTTTCTAGAAAGGAATTTTAAGGCTTAATAGTAAAAATGCCATGCCTCACAGGTGATCTAGGGAATTTTTTTTAATGTTAAAATGATTTATGATTCTTGCTAATATATAAAAGGGTCTGTCAAACAGTTGTCACACAAAGAATAGTTGCCTATCCTCCATAAAATTCCACTTTCTCAAATGTAAATCTGGCCTGGCATATATGCTTCCTAAAGTTTAACTCAGTACTCCAGTTTGAGAACTTAATTTCAACTACGCATTAATGATTTTAAAGGATAACATTCTACAAAGACTAGAATAGTCTTAGCAGAAAGAAAATTTGCTGTTAAAACCAGAAGAGTAGTGTCTGTTACACCAGCAAACCTGACCACCACAGAGACTGGCTATAGAAGAAAGACACCTCCCAACAGTGGAGAGGACCCCGTGGCTGGAAAGCACTGGCCATCCTTCCGGGAGCTACTCTCATGGATAACAGCCACCTGTGCTTAGTTACTAAACCCCCAAATTTAAAAATTAGCTTCTGATCTAAATAGCTCCTTTTGCGAACTTGAGACTTTAAAGTGTTAGTGTCAATTTTCGAAGATCAACCAAAAAGTATTGGAGATGACAGCAATTTGTAAAGAGGTCATGATAGCTCCAGTGTTGACTTCCTCTCTGTTGCAGGAAGAAACTGTGCTATTTTGAACAGATTAAAGACTTTTATAGTTTGTGGTAAACAGATTATCTTTTTTTTGTTTGTTTGTTTAAATTCCATCCTGCCACTTCATCCCATCTGTCTGACCTGTGGCCAACCAGGCCGCCATCAAAGCTGGTCCTCTGTGACTGTGCCTCCCATACTGATGACCGCCTGGATGTGCCCTGGACGACTTCTGTAGTTCCTTCTGTGCAAGCTCTGTACCTCTGTCCGTTAGCAACACTGTCTTATTAACAAGAGGAATGCTATTAACAGTAGCATGAAATACAGTTCTGTATTAATAATTCTAAAGCTGCTGTTAACTTCATAAAGTTCACAATAATCATGTAAACTGCAGAAATTGGAGCAAGTGCCTAAATTTTGCTGTTTTTGGCAGTACTATGGAACCATGTACAACAGAAAGCAATGCAAGACTTGTAACCTCTCGTCACTTCTTGTCATTTGAGGACTATACAATGTTCCCCTTCAGGTTATTTTGCTAATGGTACACACAAGTTGCCTCTCTGTACACATATACTTTGTTCTGAAAATTTCTTTCGATGTTTGGAGCTACAGATAGTTAAGGGCTGAAAATTTTAGCTTTCAGTGTAAGCTTCAAGCTTAGCAGTTTTCTTTAACTTGAGATAATATTTGATTCCTAGTTCTGTTTGGAGGCAAATTTTCATTTATCTAAATAAAATGCAACCTAATTAAAATGCCATGGATTTTCTTTCCATAATTTCACCTTAATTCCATTTTGATTGCTTTTCTATTTCCTGTTGTGATATTTGTCACACATTTATCCTTTTAACTACTGAGCCATTCCTTTGTGACACTGTCCACAGAGCATCATGGGAGTTGGGAATTTATCTGGGATATGTGTGAATGCACAAAAATGTCTTTTATCACTGATTCCTAATCCTTTTGGGTCAGGGCTCCTTGAACTGGAATCTTAGTAACCCTCTTAACTGACCTCCAAAACCCAACAACAAACAGTGTTATGTACAGTTTTTGGATAATCACACAGCCCTACTCTGAAGTCCCCACTAACGACCAGAACGAGAGTTAAACCTCTTGCCCAACTCTACAAGAAAGGAAATGGATGTGACCCAAGGGTTCCAAGGAGCAAGAGGCTGGAACCTGCGCACTACCAATGCATCCAGTGAGTTCACATGACTTCATTTCCAATGTGATCCTGGAAAACAGACCTGCTGGACAACCTTGCATTTTTGTTTAAATGCAATTTTCTCCTCACCTCCAAATTCCTTATTGTCTCCAGCCTAGGTCACTGGAATTAGGACAATGATGTGGGGCCAACTGTTAGCTGAGATTTGGACCACCTTTTAACAGGTTTTGGCTAAGGTGGCCGGGGCTTGGGGACAGCATGGTGAAGAAAGTGACTTTTTAAAAAAATGTTACAGCTTAGAACTCAAACTCATTTCTTGGTATCATAATATAACTGGCACCCTTAACAGGGATCTACTTTAATCTCATAAAACTTTGCAAACTTCTGCATTGCTTAATGACATTAAAAATTTTAACAAGAGTTGGATCTGATCTTTAAGAGAAGTTTCACTGTAACACTCCTTTTTGGAGACCAGAGGTAAAGTGACAGTTCCTAACTGGTGAAATTAGGACCCAATGTGCTATTTCCCTACACCGGACATTGAATACTAAAGCCTAGTTCTAACCCTGTGGTTTCCATTCTAATCCAAATTACTTGGCCGTAATTAACGAGCACAGAAGCAATACCATAAATTAGGCTAATTTAAAAACCACATTATGCTTGATCCTGTTAAACCCTGTTAGCCTTAAGAGCTCACCTAATTCCTGGAAAAGCAGGGGAGTGGGGGTTGCCTCTAAACACAATTAGGGTTCTTTTTAAAGATTACGGAAGTGATACTGCGGGGGCTGCCAGCAGGCTGTTTTAAGGAATGGGACCGATGCTTTCTAGCCCAGGCTACTGACTCCCAAGGCAGTGTTGCGGGGTGGGGGTGGGGGCGGTTCGTGAGCTATTGGTTATCACAATAACTAGGTGATACAGAGATCTGATCAGATCCCTGGGGAGGAGCAGGAAAGGGCCGTAGAAGGAGGCTGCCCAGGACAATGGTACAGGGCCTAGGCTGGGATTGGCTGAGAAGTGGAATGCCTCCAGAGCGCACGGCATTATGGGCGAGAAGATTTGGGATAAAAGGAGGGCGGTGGGGCTCTCGGACTGGCGACCTCGGGCTCTCAGGCTTGCCCTTCCTCAAGGACGCCTGGAGGATAGTGCTGCAGCTACCTGCGTTTCCCAACGGCCGGTATTTGGGTGTATTTTGGGTGGGAGAAGAAACTCGGTGTGGCCTAAGATGAGCCTGGCCGGGCGTAGCGTGGCCGGGTTATTCTTCCTTGGGTGTTGTAGAAGGGACAAGCTTTGCGGCCGACGCCTGCCATTCTTCTAAAATTGTGTAGCTTCTGTATCTTATGTTTTAGCTTGTAAACTAACCCTATAGAAATAAGAATTAAAAACTAACAGGGGGACTGATAGGAGAACCCAGGTGTTAAAGAAATTAGCCTTAATTAATTCATTAGGCTTAAGTGACTAATGCATGTGGAAAGCTGTTACTCCAAAGTTGTGCAATTTGTGAACAGAGACCCCTTTCCCTCTTTGTCTTGCCTCAGGCATTTCACCTGGAGGGTGGCGGTGGGCAGCAGGACCCCCACTTGCTGTTCGGTAACATAAGTTGTTACTAGAAATTAATGAGTGGGGGTTACAGATGCTTGTGGTCCTGCAAGGCCCAGGGCGGCCCTTTCTATGAAAGGGTTTTTGATCTTAAATGCCAGGGCAGCTAGAGATTTTCTTCTAGCTTTCAGAGAATTAAAGGCTAGGGGTGGGAGGAGACCAGCGAACATGTTATCATAATAAGCCAGACAGAGGTTGATAAAGGCCTACATTAAAAGCAGTGGCAGTTTGTCTGGAGAGATGTGGGTGAGATCAAGAGATAGTGGGAGGTATAATCAACGGGACAGGACACCTGATTATCTCTGTCCTGTGAGCAGTGTGGGGTGAAGAAGGAAGTTTGTGGGGTCGTGTCCTGACATGGGTGGAGGCGGTGAGGTAATACCAGCCTTGGAAATGTTCCATTTGTGAGGCTTGTGAGGTCTCCCAGGGTAAATGCAGAATGGGCAACTCTTCAGAAGAGTTCAGGACAGACAGACGTCAACAGCTCTTCTGTCCTCCCTACGTCCTGGAGACCCGGAGGGAAAAATAACCCTCGCCAGATCCTTGCAACATTGCTTAAAATCTCATGCACAAACAGTGGTAGTTAGAAAAGGTGAGGCTTTAGAGGCTTTTACTTACCCTGCCACAGCAGCTTCATTTCAGAACATGTAACCAGCTCTGGCTGGTGTGGCTCAGTGGGTTGAATGCTGTCCTATAAACTAAGAGGTTGATGGTTCGATTCCCAGTCAGGGCACATGCCTGGTTGTGGGCCAGGTCCCTGGTTGATCAGTGTTTCTCTCCCTTCCTTCCTCCCTCCCTCCCCATCTCTCTAGAAATGAATAAATAAAATCTTAAAAAAAAAATTGAATGTGTAACCAAGTACCTCCCAAGATTTTTTCCCGTTGTGAAAGTGCTTTACAAACTGAAAAGCAAAATGCCATAACACGGTAATATTAGTAAGAAGAGAAACTTTAATAACATTGTCCACTAGAGGCAATGTTGTAACTGCTGATGATTGTTGTGTCCTTGAATATTTTTGTGGATTCAGAATAATAACGTTGATCTAACATTTTAAAAATGCTCTTTAGAGAGGAAACGCCCATTTTGTGCATCTGCATGTCTTTTTCCTTCCCCTCTTCCTGGTGCCTTTTCGGGATTTGTCACTTGCCAGCACATCCCCCTGAAACACCTGAAGGGGGGGCAGCATGAGGTGGGGGCTCGGGTTGGGAGGGGCCAACCTGCTCTCTTCTGGGTCACTCAGGAGGCTCCTCCGACCGCGTGTCACGCAGGCTCTCAGTCCTCTCAGGCTGGCTGCCTTCTGACCTTTGTCTGCTTGGGGGCATCTCTAACTGAAAAGATAAAAGAATTCTTTAGTCCATCTTTTTTTTTTTTTTTTTTTTTTTGCTAACAACAAAAAAATTTGAACAACGGTTAAGGATTTCTGAGGCAAGGTGCTGGTAGCAGAAAGGGCTCTGTATTTACCACTCAGTAGTTTTATGACCTTGGCCAATGGCTTAACACCATTTTGTCTCCTTATCCTGATCCTTCCTCTCTTACAGTAAGGAGGCCCAGCGAGGTGGCCTCCTCAGAAACTGTGTGGGGTGTTTGGTGCCTTCTCTGTGCTCACATTTCACAAGGGCATTTAGAATGAAAACGGTAGGATTTAGAATAAATGCCAGGCTCTCTCAGGCACCCACCTATACATTGCACACATCTCATTGAGGAGGAGCTTGCTTCAAATCAAGAATTGTGCTAAGACTGGCACATTAGTTCCCCTGGTTGTAATTCGAAGAAAAGTAGAACCAAGACTGGACAGTAATACTAGAGCAGAAATTACATAGTAAAGCAGTGGTTCTCAGAACATGGCTCCTGGCATCATTGTCATCATCATCATCATCATCATTTGGGAACCTGTCAAAATCCTAATTCTTAGGCCTGTCCTGGACTGCCTGAATTAGACCGTCTGGGGGCAAGACCTGCGATCTGTTTTATGAAGCAGATATGTTGATCTTTCCAGAGGAGAATGAAATGACAGAATAGCATTTCATCCTGATCTTTTTTTTTTTTTTTTGCACTGAAGTTTCTCAGTTTAATTTTTATTTTATTTAGAGCTGTTAACAGTTTAGTTGATATTCTGGTTGTATTTAAGGAGCAAGTTTTAGAAAAGGCAAATTAATTGATGTCTCAATATAATTAACTTTTTGCTTAAAATTCCTAAACATAAATCTTGTTTAACTGCAAATAATGTACAGCAATGTTTTGTTCTAGACTAAAATAGACAACTAAAACAAAGCAAAAGGCACTGAGGTATTCTGAGGGTTATGAAAATCATCATGAAAATGCAATCAACCTAAAGAACAAGTTATAATCCATTACACTCCCCATGCAAAACATTTTCTTAGAATTCACTCCTAGTGAATTCCTGAAGAGGCAGCTTCACTGTCCCCCTCCAATTCCTAGCCAAATTGCCGGAGGTGCTCCTTACACACAATTTCCCACGCATCCCTCTAAGTGCCTGTATTTTTTTAAACATAGCAATTTGGTGTTTTACCTGAAATGTGTGACCCACGCCTGACATTTTGAACTGAAGGGTTCATTTTGAATCCCTCTATTCTTTCCCTTCCTTAGAAGGTAAAACAGCAAAAAACAAGCGTCCAGTTCCTATGACTTTCACAAGGTGTTTCCACTGTACCCTCTTGTATCATGATCCAAAGCTTATTTATTCATCAGTTATTGAAAAATTCCTATAGTACAATAAAATCCTACAGTACTTTACACAATATTTTTTTTTTTTAGCAATATTTGTTGAATGAGTCACCTCTTATTGTTTTCCCTGTGAAAGAAAAGGCAATAGAAGGCTAGTCTGAGAATGACAGCTCTAGGGGATTCTAAAGCTTAGGTGTTCGTTCATACCACCAACTGATGTTTCTAAAGCTTATTTACATTGGGACTATCAGAAACTCAGAATAGTTAAATGTATAACCTCTTGGGATCGATTAAATAGGCACAAAGCGTCCCAGGGCAGGGTGGGCGGGCTTCCTCCTCTATGCCCTGCTCTTCTGGGAGGAGCTGGCATTGTGCAGCGCAGCCACAGTGGAGGTGTCTGAAGGCTGGTGTTAAGAGGCCCAGCGCTCCCCTGAGAAACAGATCCTGCTTTCTGCTGCACATTCCACTGTGTGGAATTCGAGAGACTCAGTGTGATGCCCTGGCTGGTGTGGCTCAGTGGCTTGAGCGCCAGACTGAGAAGCAGCGGGTTGGTGGTTCGATTCCCAGTCAGGGCACATGCCTAGGTTGTGGGCCAGGCCCCCTGTAGGGTGTGTGCAAGGGACAACCACACATTGATGTTTCTGTCCTTCTCTTTCTCCCTCTCTTCTCCTCTCTCTAAAAAGAAGTACAATCTTAAAAACAAAACAAAACCAAGAGTAGCTGAACACAATGCCTATCCTTCCCCTCGACTGACCGAGTTGCTAAAGCTGAACAGGGGTAGGCTGGCTGGCATTTTGCTCTTACCCCTCTCTCCTCATCCACTAGATCTCCTGTGATCACCACCACTTTCTAATCTTCAAGACCCTGCCTCTCGGCTGCATGCCTCATCCCTGCAAGGCAGCCTGGGGGTTGTGAGGAGGCCTGTGGAGGCAGGCCCCGATTTCCCTTCCATAGACATTCAGAGAGTTAACTGGGCACAAGACTTGCATCTTAAGTTGGGAGATATGAGTATAGTTGTGTTTTGTTTTTTTTTTTAAATGAGAAAACAGTTGAAACCTCTCAATATTGAATAATCTAGGTTTATAGAGCACGAGTTTGTGTCATCTTTAGGCAAACACTCCTTGGCCTCTTTTCCTTCCTTGTAAAAAGACAATCTCCAGACCCATTCCTGCTCAATCTTTGGCTATCTGCAGCATCTTCGTACGGAGTTTATGCATTTGAATCACACCGTAGTATGACCCAATGTGGTTATCAATGTCCTCATTTTACAAACATGGAGAATGCCATTCAAGTCCGGAAGTCACCAGAGTTCTGCAGACAGGAGGAGGAGACAGAGCAAGGCAATGGCTCCTGGGGCCATGCCCTCAACTTCCCCTCCTTGCATCTCTTTGGGCTGACAAAGTAATACACAGGTACAGATCATATACCCATTTAATTAAATGTTTATTCAATGAAAGTATGTATAAAAACTTACAAATCTGAGAACTCAACTATACATGAAATAGGGTGACGGGATAGTCAGTTTTAACATATACGTACAGCACAGCTATGAACTGTTCTTCCCTCTCCCCTTCGGTCCTTATTTCTGGCTTCTGTTTTGCCCTGGGAGACCGTTCTGTTATTGGCCTAAGGGAAGACTAATGGAACAATTTTACCGCTTTCAGGCCAACAGGAAATTTCAGGTGTTAAAAAAAAATTTGGAGACTAAATACCAAAGTCCCATTTTTTCCCCAAACTGCAATTATGTTTTTTGGTCCTGATTTCTCTTTGCCATTTTTGATGTTTCAATGAATGTTGCCATTGAACTATTAGCATTAATTTTTAAAACCACAAGTTCTACTCACATCTTCCCCTGTAAGATCCTGTATCCTTTTTTTCTGTAGTAGACACACTGATTTAAAAGCAGCAGCAGATCAGGGCTAAAACAAATTTACCCACTGGCAACTGCTGGAATGGCATGTCAATTCTATTCAGAAAAGCCATCTATAGGATAGTACTTCCAGTTCTGATTTTTAAAACCAACAAATTTATCAAAAATGAAAATACAGTATTTTGTCGTTCACCTTTGAAAGAAGCCAGCGGTTAGATAAGGCCTGTGCATTAATTCACCTGTGTGCAGTAAGTATCCACACATTTTCTTACAAACTCACAAACTCACAGCTTGTCATGTTTTATCCAAAAAATTAAGATTGCCATCACATTATTACTTTTTCTCTGTGTTTTGTTCAAGTGGGTTTCTTAACTAATGATTTTTCTTGACTGGACATAATCTCAAAGGATGCATCCTGACATAAGACACCTGGAGGATAAATACTGAGAATGTTCTCTTGGGTTTGAGGTTTTCCACACCGAGATTTTGCATAGTACAGAGCCCAGCTGCGTCTCTAAGAAGCAATGCTGTATTTTCTGACATTGTTCTTCTGAGAAGGAAGACACTACGCAGGGAAGGTCATAATTTTAGCTTACCAAATTGCATTCTGGTTGTTTTGTTATATACCCTTCATTAGTTCCAAGTATGCTTTTAAATAATCTAAAACTCAAAATCCATTTGAGTTTATAAGTACTACTGACTATTATCTTTCCGATATCCCCTGAATAAAAGGAAATGTTCCAGGTTTATAATGCACAAAGCCTTTACGGAGGAGGGGCTGGGGATGGCGGGAAGGGAGAGAGGAGGGAGGGTCCAGGGGCCTGTTTGTATCATGCCACAGAACTGTAGTTCTGAATTGGGAAAGGGAAGGATGATAGTCTTTGTAAAAATGACAGTTTTAAAAAGATAAGTAACATTCAGTCTAACAACACTGTTTCCTGTTCTTTTTTAATGGACGCTAACACAGGGTGGTCGGGTTCCGTTACTTCGGAGTCCCCACTGCCCAGGAGAATGGACCGCCCCTCGTCCAGGGCAAAGACGTCTGAGTTCTGGTTCTGGCACGAGTGTTTAACAACCTCGTTGGGAGTTGAGAACGTTTTGTCACACAGGTTGCATTTGTACGGTTTGTTAGTCTGTACCAACATGTTGTCCATCTGACTACCTTCCTCGAATGTGCAGAGCTCCAGGGTCTGTTTGTCCACCATGGTGTATGTGTCGATGCTCTGGTTGAGGCACACGTGCCGGGCAGCCTGATTGGCCCTGCAAAAGCTCTTGTCACAGGTGCTGCATTTGAAAGGCTTCCCGGTGTGTATGTACATGTGCTCCCTCCAGTGGCTCTTCTGGATGAATTTGCGTCCACATATCGTGCACTCGTACTTGCGCCTCTTGACCTCCCTCTCTTGGTCCGCCTGCTCCAAGTTGTCGATGTCCGCGATGTCCGAGGGCGGTGGCGTCTCTGAGTGCTGTTGTCCGTCGATGATGGGGGAATCTGAGATGTGCTGCAGCTCACTGTCACTGATCATCCCAGCCTCAGGCACTTCCATGGCGTCCTTCCCGAGGTCTGCCGCATTGCTGCAAAGGGAGAGGGGCACGCGGCCTTCTCCGGGCTGGCTCGCTGTGAAGGGGACGCCGGTGTGAATCTGCAGGTGTTCCCGCAGACTGCTCCGGAGTGTAAAGCGCCGCCCACACAGGTGGCAGGCGTAGTACTTTGGGAAGCTGCCATTCCTCTTCATGATGCTCGGCTTGACGTGGGCTATGGTGAGGGTCGCGGGCTGCTCGTCAGAGGAAGAGGCTTCCAGATTGGTCTCCTCCCCGGCAGCAGGGGGAGGCAAAGGAGTGGAAACGAGTTCTGGAGACAGGGAGGTCTGCAGGGGGTCTGAGGGAGTCATGTGTGTCCTGTTCACCTGGGTCAGATTTGAGGTCAGCTGAGACAGCTGTGCGCCTTCAGGCACCTGCTCCTGGCTCATCCTGGAGGGCTGGGGCCGGGGTTCTCGCCCAAGTTTTTCAGGGGCTGAAGCAATCTTGGTGGCTTGTCTCAACTGATGATCTGCAATCTGAATGCCATACAAGGAGGAAGCCAGCGGAAAAACTTGGTCAGGGTGGGAAAAGGCTCCTTGGCTGGCCAGGCTAGCTTCCTGGATCAGAGGGTAAGCATGCAGAAACTTGATCCCCTGTTCCAATCGAACAGGATCAATCAGCTGAGGTGCCATCTTTCCAGTGTACATCAAATGTAAAAGATAGCTGAAAATATCGGGCTGTATGTCAGTTGGTTTCAAACGGACACATTCACTGAAAGAAAAGTAAAAAGTCTGTCAGTCAATGTCAATGCCTGTCTCAAATGATAATATCAAGTCTGACGAAAAAAACAGGCACTTTTTAAAAAGGCAAATGAAACAAACATTGCCCATTTGTTACTGTAAGTTTAATGAAATGGAATACTCAAGAAGATAACAGGAATCTATATGTTAACATTAACTATATTAAGAACAGAGAGAAATACAACAAATATATTTTAAAGGACTAAGTTCATGTTAAACAGATGTAGTATCCTACCTCATAGACTCTTGAAGCAGTTTTTCTTCTAGTAATTTATGTAAAATTGTATCAAATTTGTGTTTTACGGGGAGGATCCATTTCTTCCTATCAGTCTTGAGTGGTCTGTGACTCAGTAATGGTTAGGAACCACTGACCCGGCACATCTTTTGGCTAAAAGTCTAGGATTCAGTATTGACCCAATGCCAGCCAGAGCTCAGCAGGAGATCTTTAAAGGTAAGTCCAACAGTCTACCTGCTTAGAAAGTTTCTTCACTTGTAAAACAACATGGGGAGCTGGACTAGTATGAACAAGTGCCTAAGAGCAAGATAACAAAAGTGAGAGAAAAATAAAGCCCAATTCTGTGTTCTGCAACTCTCTGATCTATGTCCAGCGTGATGGTAGGCACTGCCCTGATGGGAACAAAAGGCCAGCCATGTCTCAGCTCTAGTGCAGTCGGATCGCCTTCCCAGTACTGCTAGACTGCATTTAAAAGCAGTTGTGGTATTGGTGATTTTCTAACTCTTAGACTTCAGGGTTTGTAACATCTCAGAAAAGGCATACCGATGCCAGCAGCGATAGTGAAGAGGTTCCTAAGAGCTCTTCCTGGACCATCAGCAATGACAGAAGTTTCACTGTATCATTAGATACCAGTGAGATATGGCTCTGTATATTATGGGGCATATGCTATTGTCCATGTAGTGAATATACTGTATAGACAATGCATTTTCAACTCCAAAGATGCCTTCCTTAAATGTCTTTAGATTTTATAATCATTTTTTCAAAACTTGTGAAAATTAATTTAAAATTTTTAAATATTTTTATTTTAAATAATTTTGTTTCTCAATTACAGGTGACATACAATATTATATTAGTTTCAGGTGTAAACCTCAGTGATTAGACATTAGATAACTTACTAAGTGATCATCCTAATTCTGACACCATACATAATTAGAATGTGACTACATTCCCTATGCTGTACTTTTCACCCCATGACCATTCCATAAAAACCGATTGGTACATCTTAATCCCCTCACACTTTTCACTCTCCCCCCAACTCCTTCCCACCTGGCAACCATCAAAATGTTCTCTGTATCTATGAGTCTGTTTCTGTTCTGCTTGTTCATTTTGCTTTTTAGATTCATTGGTGATAGTTATGTATTTATTGCCATTTTACTGTTTATGGTTTTGATCTTTTTTTCTTCTACTTAAAGAAGACCCTTTAACAATTCATATAATATTGGTTTGGTGGTGATGAACTCCTTTAGCTTTTTCTTGTTTAGGAAACACTTCACCTGTCCTTCCATTCTAAATGATAGCTTTGCTGGGTAGAATAATCTTGGTTGTAGGTCCTAGCTTTTTGTCACTTTGAATATTTCTTGCCAACAAAGTTTCTGTTGAGAAATCAGCTGACAGTCTTATGCGAGCTCCCTTGTAGGTAACTAAAAGCTTTTCTCTTGCTGTTTTTAAGATTCTTTGTCTTTAAACTTTTGCATTTTAATTATGACATGTCTTGGTGTGGGCCTCTTTGGATTCATCTTGTTTGGGACTCTTTGCACTTCCTGGACTTGAATGTCTGTTTCCTTCACCAGGTTAGGAAAGTTTTCCGTTATTATTTTTTCAAATAGGTTTTCAATTTCTTGCTCTCTCTTCTCCTTCCAGCACCACCAAGAATGCAAACGTTGGTATGCTTCAAGTAGTCCCAGAGGCTCCTTATGCTATCCTCATATTTTGGATTCTTTTTTTTTTTTTCCTTTTTGCTGTTTTGACTGGATGTTTTTTGCTTCCTTATATTTCAAATCACTGAACTGATTCTCAGTTTCATCTTCTCTACTCCTCAGTCCCTGTAAATCATTCTTCATTTCAGTTAGTGTATTCTCATTTCTGACTGGTTGTTTTTTATGGTTTCCATGTCTTTTTTAATGCTGTTGCATTTCTAAGTTCCTTGAGCATCATTATAACTATTGCTTTCAACTCTGTATCTGTTACTTTGCTTTCTTCTACTTCATTTAGTTTTTTTTCTTGTTCTTTCACTCAGGGCCTGTTTGTCTCATTTTGGCTGCTTCCTTGTGTTTGTTTCTATGTATTAGGTATGTCTCCCAGGCTTGGTAGAGTGGCCTAATATAGTGGATGTCCTGTAAGGCCCAGTGGCACAGCCTCCTGTTCACCTGAGCTAGGCACTCCAAGTGTGACCTGTCTGCCCACGCCCCCCGCCCCCCACTCCCCCACTTCCATTGCATGGGCTGTGTACATTCTCCTGGTCTAGTTGAAACTTGAATGCTTTTGGCACATCAGTGGAAGCGATTTCCTCCCAGGCCAACTGACTGAGAAGACTGGCCAGGACCACCGTGGAGGATCAGCTATGCAGGGTCCTAGCCCATGAAGCAGAACTTACTTCAGTGAAGCTCTGGTGCCTGCTGAGTCTGCACCCTGAGTGTGTTTCTTGTGAAGGTGGCTGGGTGGTACTTTGACGTGGCTGAAGCTGCCCATGTGGTGTGTTGGCTCTGGGACCTCCCAGTAGGTGTACACCAAGGTCAGTCGCTGCCTGTGTTCTGCCCAGAGCCTCCCAGCATGAGCTACAAAACGATCTGCAGATGGCTGCTACTTGTGCTGAGCTTGGAGGTGCTTGGGAAGAGGCCAAGCAGTACATGAAGGCCAGCTAGTGCTGGGCCTGGGGCCACCTTAGCAAGAGGTATGGGGCACAGAGGCCAGATGCTACTTTTTTGTGAGATTTTAGGAAAATCAGAAGCATGTGCCAAGACAGACCATTTGCACAGAAAAACCAATGGAAACAGCTTGTGTTGGGCCCACAAGTGGGGTGGCACAGGGTCTCCGTGAATCACCATAGTGGGGCTAATAGTGATAGCCAGGTTGATGGAGACTCAGATATGGCACCCACCTGCCATTTCTGTGGAGGGAGGACTCAGAAAAGGAGCAATGGCCTCTGCCAGCACTTCTGTCTGGGAGAAAGCTACCCCTCCAGCTGTTGCACTGATGCCAGACAATTCAGTTCCTCCCTGTATATCCCTGGCACCTTTTGAGCTGCTGCTGTAGTGCTGGCTCAGAGGGAGTCTGAATCTGACTAAGTCCATTGGAGGGCCCTCTAAGGACACCTGGGACTCCAAAAGCTCTCAGTCTCTCTCAGCCACAATCCCCACTGATTTTTACAGCCAGAAGTTATGGGGACTTCTCTTCCTGACACTGAAACCCTGGGCTAGGGGGCCTGGTGTGTGGCTGGGACCCCTGGCTCCTCAAGGGGGACCTCTACTGCTGAGATAATCCAACCTGATTTTATCTGCCACACATGGGTATGGGTCCAGCTGGTGTTGAATCTCCACCCCTCCTACTAGTCTCGATGTGACTTCTTTTTATCTTTAGTTGTAGGGCTGTTGTTCACCTAGATTTCGATGGTTCTGAATGATGGTTGTTCTGTAACTATAATTTTGATGTGGTTGTGGGAGGATCTGAGTAGTGTATTTACTTATGCTGCCATCTTGACTGGATATAATCATTTTTGACTACACTGCTTCTTAATATTATAACTATTTTTGTCTCCTTTACCTGTTTTATCTAATAGTTTATATATGCTAAAATATTAACAGTATACTCAGCTCTTTTAAATTTAATGCTTATTCTATTAAAAAGGGAAAAAAGTGACTAATAGGAATTTAGAGATTTGAATAATTACTATATTACTGTACTGATATATTTTGAGATAAATGCATACAAATAATGATGTGAAAAATGTGTGACTACAAACTGAAAGCCAAAGAGTAAAGATCAAGCATAAAAACTAGCATCCTTTGACAGAATAAAGGGGAAGACTTAAATGACTCTATTAAAAAAAAAAATTCATGGAGATCATTCATATCTTTGTTTGGACTCTTTTTATAGTCCTTTAAATAGAAATGCAGATACAGGTGTTCTTCCCTTTAATTACAACAATATTTTGTATATAGTATAACATATTCAGATGCTCTAGGGAAGTTCAATATTCAGAATAAAGCTTCAGAGGTTATGTGTGGTGAAGAATAAACTAATAGTGTAATCAACTCCAAAGTGAAGACATAACCAGATGGCTTTTTTCCAGGGCCAGGGAGAGAACTGGGAAACCATAGGCCTTTAGGGATGCAAAAAAGGTGCCAGGAGATGACAGGGCACCTTTTGTTCTGCCAGGATGGAATATTCCTTCGGGCAGAGTTAGAGTTAGAGTTAGTGAGCCCTTTTGCCCCCAGGAAAGAAAAGGAAAGGGCAGAAATCCAAAACTGGGACTATGTTTTTCAGTATCCCTGAGAGACACCAAGCAGAGCCCCTTTATAGAAAACCTTTGTTGTGAGTTTTATAATTTCCTCCCACTTGTTATTACACAGGTCCTCTGTCTACAGCCTGTGAACGGGGGTGACTGGACAGCATACATCTCAAATTTTAAAGAACTATGTACAGTCTCTGATGGCAAAGACAAGATGGGGCTGGGGAGGCCCCAGTCCACACTTTGGCCAGGCCTGGCAAGGGAAAGGTTCCCAGGGGCCCTGGGGAGTTGGGGAACAACCGCCAGGGAGAGGAAGACAGGGTCCCTGGGGGTTACTGCCAGGGCCCACGGTGGTTTCCAGACACCAATTTATCTTGCTTTCTTCATTATACTTTCTTTTTCTTAAAGCAGAAGCATGTATACACAGAGAGACATGTAGAAGAGTTGTTCTAAGGAGCTCCTCGAGCCAGACTGCAGCCCTCTCCATCCTTGGCTGCTTCCACTCCTAGGCAGTTGACCGCCTTCCTTAGTCATTCAGCTCGCTATGGGCCACTTCGGTCCTTTCCAAGTCCTCTGGGAAGAACAAAGCTCTCTACAACAGAATTACACCCAAGTGGCTTGATTTGCAGATGTCTGACAGAACTCGTATGTCAGAAAAACAATTTTATAAACTTCCACAGTAATTGACAATTTTGATTTTTCTTCCTTCACTAGAATCTTAAGATGGGCTTAAAGAACTTCAAAGATAAAGATTTTTAAATGTAAGACATTGTCAGAGGCTGTACTTAGAAAGGCCTGTCTTAGTTTTATTTCTGAGAGCTTCAAGTCTGCAGTCCTGCATGATTTAAAACTGAACACTTAGAAAAGCAAGCGTACATGGGACAGAGACATCTAGTGGTAACTATAGACCAAACACTCTGATCACAGTGTGAAAAAAGGATCGCTCCCCATGTCTCTTAAGTAGCCAGGCTGCAATTCTTAGTGGCTTACAAAAAAGGCACTGGTTTAAAAGCATGTCTCTGGTCTCCACCCAGGATTTGCTTTGTCACAGTGAGGTGGGCAAGGCCACCGTGTGGCAGCCCAAATAGCATGTGCCATCTCTGGTGGAGTAACACGCTATAGTTTAGACTTGGGACTCTCATCTACCCGGATATCACACTCCCTTGTTGGAAAGTCCTGTACTTACTGCCAGACACTTAACATAAGTTTCCTGCACCCATTTAAAACTCACTGTATTCTTTTACTCCTCAAAATTAAAATCTCCTTTTCAAGACAGGTTTAACTCATTGTGTTGGGATATCTAAGTATACATTAGCTATTAAGTCTCAGGAGTATGTAGTAAAGTCTCTGACAATGAAGTAAAAGGGAGCAACCTTAGAGTCACAAGATAAAGAGTATCAAGTGGCTATTCTATACAAATACCTGAACTATACACTACAGAGTTAAAAAGATTTGCAAAACCCAATGTCTGCCCTCAAGAATCATACAAATCAGGAGCGGGGTAAGTACACAGATAACAACAATGGGAAAATGGATAGATTTTACAAAATGGCATGAAGTGCTAGGAATCGTGAGGGAGGAAGAGATAGCTTTTGATCCTTTTGGTTCATTTGGTCAGAGAGGGGTCATGCAGAGGTGAACTGGGACTTAAGGGGAGGGAAGAATACCAGCAAAATGAGGTTCAGGTGTGGGGTGAGGCCAGAGGGAGGCCAGGCTTCCAGCCTGTGGGGCTTTGACAGACAGAATAAAGAAGTCTATATATATATATTGCTTTGCTCTGCAGTGGGTACACTCTAGGTTTCCAATCACAGGAATAACACAATCTAGTAGATTTCTGATCAAAGGAACACCCCAATCAAAGCAATGTTCAGGACTATTAATCTGACTATAATGTGGACATGATTAGGAAATGGACGTGAAAAGGGGAAGGAAAGGATTATATGAAAGGTATTTTGAAGAAAACCTGATTTGGGAATTGGTAAGACAGGATTTTAAGGAGATTTTGAGTATGGGTTTTTCACAGGCAAAAAAGTGGGGAAGCAAGGAGGGACCTCAGGCAAGACTTAATTCAGTTTTAGATATGCTAAATAACATAAAAGGAGGAAAGTAAAGATCCAGGTCAGAGCTGTAGACTGGCCTCCAGCAGAGTCCAGGCCCAGGAAAATGGCAAGCGCCCACCGAGAGAGTCACATGGAAAGGGACGAAGGGCCCCAGAACAGCACTCCCCAAAACTCACAGAGAAAAACGTGGGACACGCAGAGCTATCAAATGCAGACGGTGATCCTTAAGGAGGAAGAAAACGGCAGCAAATGCTGCAGAGGACAAGGGCCAGAGACAGACAGGGGAGTGGCAGTTCCGACAAAGAGGTGACCTCTGAGGAATGACTTCAGACAGCAACCACAGCGCCCACGGCAGGAAGAGAGTGGGCGAGGCCAGTGCAGGCGCGGCCACAGATCACCCGGAAGCACTTCCACAGTCAAAGAAAGGAGAGCAGCACCGTAACGACTCAGGTAGACTGCGGTGTAAGGGAGTGCTGGCCCTTCACAGACTGGGGCGGGGGCGGGGGCTTAAAAGTATAAAATCAAAAGTACAGAATGGAAACTAAGGGGTGGAATCTGGGTCCTTGAGGTGCAAGAGGAAGATCCTTTTCCTTAAACACTGAGGGGCGCTTTTCTCCAAGACAGGAGAAATGGCAAGGAAAAACCAAGTAAAGATACTGAGATTGAGTCATTTTAAGAGAAAAGAAGACAATTGGGGGAATTACCCAGGTCAAGCTTCTCATTGGAGAAGGAGACAAGGGTATATCCTGGAAGTGGGAGGTCCCTGGGGGGCGTGGCGGCTGGATTTGGGAGAGGAAGGGGTTAATGAGGCCTGGCTGCAGCTGGCTTCCTGGGATCAGACCGTGCAGGTGACGCTGGCCAGGGTCCCTGGAGGGGCTGCATGGGACTCCAAGCCCCATCATTCCCAAGTGCTACTGGAAGGATGAGTAACCAAGAGTGAGGGGACAAGTGAGGTCATGAGGGAGCCCGGGAGCCCAGGAACAGGGAGTGAGACCTGTGTCTCGCTGAGGGCAGAGCAGGTTCAGCGGGACGGAGGGCCGTGGAAGTGCAGAGTCTGCAGTCATTCGATTATCACACCCGCGTTAGTTACCTGGTCTGATGGACAAACAACATCTTAAAGTAATTGGAGAATGAAGCAAGAACTGATTTGTGTGCCTTGAAGTACACATCGCCGATGGCAACCGTGCAGTCACACAGGAAACCAAACTCGCGCTGAGCGTTTAACTGCTGCAGGAGAATAAGTCCATGGTTGGCCAAATCCATTTTTTTAAAAATCTGCAAAGCAAACAATTTTTTTTTAAGACAGATGATTCATAAACAAGTATGCGTCCTTATAGTCACCACAGTAACGATCATAGGTAACATGCCAGGCACTGCTAAAAACGTTCCCTCAGTTCACGCATTTAGTCTTTACAATGGCCCTCTGGGTAGCTGTCGTGCCTCCCGTTTCACGGAGGAGGGCACTGGGGGGGATTCAGGCGTGGCTCGATTTGCCCAAGTTTACACAGACAGTTTAAGAGGGAGAGTCAGGAAATGAACGCAGGTAATCTGCCCTCCAGACAGCAAATAGTCCCAGACTCCTTTAGCCTTTTAGCTTAGGATTCCAAATGCAAATTTTATGTTCAAATCTCCAGATAGATAAACAAAGGAGCTGGGTATGGCCACCGCAGGGCGGGGTGAATCTTACCAAATTTGAAGCAGTTTTCCAGCCCCCACACTGGCCCGGAGACAGTAAATGCACATTCATTACACTCTCCGAATAAGGAAGCCAGGCGGCTTGAGAGGTGTAAATCACGTCGCCATCGTCTAGGAGACCACCTAGCCAGAAGGTGACTCCGGATTCTAAGATCCTCATTCCTCAGGTCTCCCTAGCAAACCTGAATCCATCGACAGCAGAAGAGCTGACTCTAGAAGAGCTGGTTCATCAAAGCAGGAGATGGCTCCTTCCCACAGTAAGACACCATTTATAAAAGTCCATGACACATAGATCAACGTCACACTTAACAGTATACTTAATGCTTTTTTTTTCTTGGAAGATTGGGACCAAGGCAAGGATGTCTGCTTTCACTATTCAGCATAGTCCTGGAAGTTCTGGCCAGCAAGTGCGATAAAGCAGGAAGGAACTGAAAGGCATTCAGACAGGAAAAGAAAATATAAAACTGTCCCTATTTGCAGATGGCATACTTGTTATTTAGGAAATCCCAAGAGATGTACAAAAACTCCAAGAACTAATAGATGAGTTTGGCAGTGACACAGGATATAAGATAAACATAAAAATCAATTATAATTCTATATCCTAACTTTGAACTTGTGGACCCTGAAATTAGAAATATCCCATTTACAATCACTAAGAAATCTGAAATACATACATGTAAATCTAGTAAAACATGTATAAGACTTGTTTGTTGAAAACTACAAAATATTCATGAAAGAAATCAAAGAAGGTCTAAATAATGGATACACTGTATTTACAATTAGGTAGATGCATCATAGTAAAAATATCAGTTTCTCCAAATTGATTTGTAGATTTGAAACAATTCTCATCAAAACCCAAGTTAAGAATTTTTTTTGAAGATCTAATTGGCTTTCTTAAGTGATTCATGAATCAGGCAGCATCCCATCTAGCAATCTGAGAGACACTCTCCAAGTAACATTTTTTTTTTTTTTTTGGTATATCTACACAATAATCTAAAATATCTATGTAAAGGCAAAGGAAATAAATAGCTAAAACAATTTTCAGCAAGAGCGGTAAGGCAAGAGGAACCAGTGTATTTGATTTCACAATGTACTGTCTAAGCTGCAGAACTCAAGACTGGGGTTCTCTGTGGAGGGAAAAACCGACAGATCAGTGGGCCAGAACAGAGGACTCAGAAGCAGACCCACGTGAACATGCACAACTGGCTGCGTACAAAGGCACAAAAGCAGTTCAGTGGAAGAAGAATCTTTTCAACAAAGGGTCCTAGATCAACTGGACTTCCATATGCAACAAAGGGAAAAAAGAGAAATTTCACCTACAACTAACCTTAAAAAAAAATTAACTCAAAGTGGATCACAGATTCAAATGTAAGACACCAAAGTACAGCTTTTGGGGGGAAAAAATGGGAGAAAACCTCAGAGATCTATGGTTAGGTAGAAAAGTTTTATACTTGACATCAAAAGTACAATCTATAAAAGGAGAAATTATTAGACTTTATTAAAATTAAAAACTTTCATTCTGAGAAAGAGCCTGTTAGGAAGGTGGGGGGAAAAACCCCCACAAAAAACCAAAGCTCAAGACTAGGAGTAAAATTTGAAAACTTTTGCGCACTAGCCTTTTGATAAGGAACTAGAATCTAGAACATATAAAGAATTCTCGAACCTCAACAGTTAAAAACCTAATGAATTAGGCAACAGACTTGAAGAGACCTTGCACCAAAGAGGATGTGCAGATGGCAAAGGGACACATGTAAAAACGTTTAACGCATTGGCAATTCAGAAAACAAATTAAAGTCACAATGAGATTTCACTACAAACTTATCAGGATGGCCAAAATAAAAAACAATGACCTCACCAGACACTGGCCAGGATGCTGGGAAGCTGCACTGCTCATGCGTTGCCGGCGGGATGTAAAGCCCTGCAGGTGCTCTGGAGGGCAGTTAGCAGCTGCTTAGAAACTAAACTGAACCCCGTATCGCTCAGCAATGACACTCACAGACATTTATCCCAGAGAAATGAGGACTTACGTTCACACAGAAACCTGCATGTGGATCTACACAGCAGCTTTATTCCTAAGAGTCAAAAATGAGAAACGACCCAGGCACTCTTCAGCGGGTGAATGAAGTGTGGTATGCCCATACAACAAAACCCACTGGGGCATAAGGAGAAATGAGCTACGGAGACATGCTGCGAAGACGGTGGATTATGCTGAGTGGAAGAGCCAATCCCAAGAAGTTACACAGTGTACAATTCCATTTATATAACATTCTTGAAAATCACGGAAATGGAGAACAGATTAGTAATGGAGGGGTGGAGGGAGCAGGAGGGAAATGGGTTCTGCTATAAAAGGGAAACAGGAGGGATCCTCATGGTGCTAGAAATGTTCTGTAGCTCAGCTGTGTCTACGTCAGTATCCCCGTTGTGATATCAGACTACAGTTCTGCAAGATGTTTCCCTTAGTGGAAAAAGGGTAAAGGGTATATGGCATCCTGCTATCGTTTCTTGTAACTGCATGTGAATCTAGGCATCTTGAACTAAAAAATTTAATTTATTAAAAATAAAGGCCACAACATATAATTAGCCAGATTTTAAAAAACTGATAACTTCAGAATTACAGAAGCTACTGTGGAGAATGAATTACCAATACACTTTAAAACAAAAACCGACCCACAGCCATTCTTACTGAGCCGCTGAACTCCCCACTCTGTTTCCTGTTGTAGGGATTAACTGACAGATTGAGAAATTGGCAAGCGTCCCCAAAAGTAAATGGATCGAATGGAATACGTTGAGAGACTGATCAGGTCACAAAGCAAGAATCCAGGAAGTCGAGTTTTGTGTTTTCTGCCAAGAACTGTGTCCACCTTTGAAGTAACTGGAGTATAAAGACTTAGATTGTAGTCTCATTTAAGTGTGAACATCGATGACATGGGTCAGGAACTGAGTTCCCCAGCATTTTCTGTGTGTCACAGAAGGTGGGAGCACTCAGGTAAGGAAGAGGAGACAGAGGAAAGGCATGGGATTCTTGACAGAGAAGGTGTCAGGCTGCACAGGAACTGGGGTTCCAAAGAAACATCCCTCCAACCTAAAGTCACCAGGGCATGACTTCAGAAGCCTGTCTTCAGGGCTGTTCTCTGAAAAGTGTTGGAACACCCCCTTTCCCATCTTACTAACCTGCTTTTCTCTACCAAAAAAAAAAAAAAAAAAAAAAAAAATCCTCTAAGAGCAAACTGTGCTGAGCTGCTCTGTTGTGTAGTCTGACTGGCCGGGACTACCTGTGCGTTGAGGCTGCTTCGGGCACCACTTTCACCGACAGCAGCTTCAAACATCCTAACACGTTGCTATTATTCCCTTGATGTTATGATGGGAGTGGCTATTATTTATGGAATATTCACTGTTAACCATTCATTTCCATATGTTACTCGTTTAATTTCACATTAACTTATGTGAGCTATTTGAAGTTGTTTGCTTTTTTCTTACCAATCTGTAAAATCTTTCTGTATAAGGGAGAATTGGTCCTTTGTCACAGCTGTTGCTAATTTTTTTTTTGATTTTGTCTTATAGAAATTTTTGACATATAATTGTTTTAATGTCATCAACCTTAACAATATTTTATAGGAGGTTTCTGAGGTTTTGTATTAACAGATATGTATCATCTCCTTTGATATAGCAAAATGTATGGTTCCCTCTCCCTTAAACAGACTAACATAAGTATTTTACTCAGACTGTAAGAATGAAGCCATGATAAAACTGTGAAATGTTTCTTTTTAAAGGGGGTCTACTAGTTATTTCTGTGTCTCAATTTTGGAACCTTTAGAATGGGAAACACACTGAACACACTTTTGCAATATCGAGGGCAGAAAAAGTGCACAGGAGACCCCTCAGAGGAGCGAGACCAATGAAAGGAGGAAAAACAAAGAGAACAGGCCCACAATTCACATGGGCAAAAACCCCACACAGATCAGTTCTGAAAAATCTTATTTGAGAGACTATAAAGTCTTTTTCAGGAAGAAAAACACCGCGCCCCCGCATTTGTGAATGAGCCTGCGATAAAGGCGTGACAGGGAGGAGGGCCGTAGGGTGGAGCAGGGGCCAGGCCTGGATTCTAACAGAAATGCATCACTGGCAGCTCCGGCCCCGCCCTGTCCTGCGAGCAGAACTGCCCTTTTCTAAATCTTTCCTCATTGTGGCCCCTCCATCTTCATTCCCATGAGGCTCTACTTGCAGAAGAATGCTGCGTGGGCTGAGGCTGCAGCATCTTCACAGGCTGGCCCTGCTCGAGGCTACTGCCCCCACCTTGTGGAAATGAATGCCCGCTCTCCGGCCCCACCGACTGCCCAGCCAATCACATCAGCCCCTCGCACTGAGCGGGCTCCCCGCGGTCACCGAGGACCACTGTTTCCCAGCCCCGTGGACAAGTAGCTTACTCCGCCGCTCCACAGCACTTCATACCCTTCCTCCGGCACCAAAAATACCCTGCTCCTGGCTTCTGGGCCACGGCACTCCTGCTTTGGTTCCACCTCTGGCTATTCTATTTTAATCTCCATCAATGATTCCTCTTTTGCGGAGGCTCCTCTGCCTCT